CCTGAACTTGCACAGCTGTTTTCATCTGCACTTGTCCTGTGTCTGTCTGAAACTGGAGCATCACCTAAGAAAACAATCGCAACTTAAAGAAGAATTATGAGGTGAGTGATTTTCACTCAGCCTCATAATCTGAGCCGACCTGTGACAATAAAACAGTCACAGGTCGGCTCAGTAGATCGGGAAGTGAGCGAACACATACCGTCACTCGCTCACTTCTCGATCTATCCCTGCAGAGAGCCGTGACTGTCACCCACGGCTCCATGCAGGGATTCCCCCCCTCCCCTGTCCGATCCTCCAGCGCTGACTGGCGAAACGGACGGGGGAGGGGGCGGGCACAGCTGGCTCTGCCTCTGGATAAGTAGAGCCAGCCGTCAATCCCGCATCTGGGTGGATCCAGACAGTATTGGCGGGATCCGTCCCGGCTACGGCGTCTCAGTTTACCGCGAGCTGTAGCTATCGGTATACTGAGCTTTGGGTCAAGGGAGACCGCTAGTTTGTGTTCTCCTGTGACCCTTAGGAGAACTATGGGGAAAGCCCTGACCCCATAGTTCTCCTTTAACACCTCCGGGCTGCTGAACACTGAGAAATGGCCTGGCCAGGAAGGGGGTCTAAACACCTGGTTTTGAAGTGGTTAAGAAGTCACCATGACCACTTCTTCGAGAAGCGCCTGTCACGCCTTTTGCCTGGAGTTACAAGTCTTCTTTCCTAGAGTCTATTTAACGTCATTTATGAACAACATTACACGAGCAACATAAATCTGGTGCAAATATATTCCCTGCAAGTTCAAACACTCGCAATTGCTATGATAAATTCCCCCCATTGTGTAGTAACGGTTTTACATTCAAATAACATCTGTGAATAATTCCTGTTAGAAAGGGATCACAGATTATGCCGATCAGGTTGAGCAGCAGGTAAATGCAAGCTTTCCTTGGCTGCTTGGGAACCTGACCATTGTTATGATGCTCAGATTAATATGTGAAATAAAATTAGGGCCCGATATAATCTAAGCTTGCTGAAAAACATCAGCATTATGGCCTACTGATTTGCAATGTCCTTGCATCACTGGGGTCCTAGATTTATTTTCCACTAAGTACCTGTTATGGAGCCAGGCCCTTTATAGATGTATCCTAAAACTGAACTCTTGACAGATAATAAAGGCACATATTAAAGGGGAGCTGTAGTCAAAAGGTGAAGATTTCCTGTTATGGGGATAATTTAGTTAAAGTGATATCAAAGTCAAATGTGAATTAAATCACTTACAAAGTATGTGGTTCTTAATGTTTAAAAGTTTTAGTTTCCTAATCAGTTGGTCCCCTAAACACTGGCTCTCCTTTCCTATTTTAGGGTGGCTCATTTTCCCTGCAGGGTCCTATGGAGCTACCATTGTGTGTGCTAATATGCTGTATGTGTTTCCACAAACACATATATGATAAATGTCACCAGCACACCTATGTCTTGTGTCAATAATCCATCTTTTTTATTGATGCACAAAACAATGTTTCGGGGGCCACGCAGGGTCCCCTTTATCAGGTTTTAGTATGACAACAGCATCCATATAACCTTCAACTTAAATACCCTTAAGCTGAAGGTTATATGGATGCTGTTGTCATACTAAAACCTGATGAAGGGGACCCTGCATGGCCCCGAAACATTGTTTTGTGCATCAATAAAGAGGATGGATTATTGACATAAGACATAGGTGTGCTGGCGACATTTATCATATATTTGAAGATGCACTGTGTCATCCATGGTTACTACAGCACCCTCCTTTATACATAGGAGCTCCGGTAAGGAGTGCAGCAGTTCCTCTCCAAGATGCCACAAACACATAGGCGCACCAAAGCAAGCCACACTCAATATTTAGCACAATTTAGTCATTCCTGTTTCCACCACAGGAATGGCTAAGCAATGTCGGGATCCGTTCCGGCTGTGGCGTCTCAGTATACCGCGAGCTGTAGCTCGCGGTATACTGAGCTTTGGGTGACGGGAGGACGCTAGTTTGTGTTCTCCCGAGACCCTTAGGAGAACTATGGGGAAAAACACTGACCCCATAGTTCTCCTTTAAGGGAAGAAGGGGGTCTGAGAGAGTCTGAGAGCCAGTTGTGCCGCACTGCAAGGATCATGCCGATAGGAGTTAGGGACAAGACCTGTAAATGTAAAATATTTGCATCAGTGAAAACTCAGGTATCCTGACTTGCCAGACTGGACTGCCCTGTATAGCAGAGCTGTGTAAATCTTAAGATTGAATAGACAGAGGCACAAATCCTTTGACAAAAAACAACTCCCATATATTCCAGGGGTGTGCAATTCCTATCGCCCGACGCCCGGGACAGGCAGTTTCGGGCGCCGGGCGAGTAGTTTTTTAATACATTCAGCCCTGCTCCGGACAAGCAGAGCTAAATGTATATTGTGGAGCCACCGCTCGTTTTCATACAAGTGATCTAATCAGATCACTTTTATGAAGCGAGAATCGGCGATCCTGTCCGCCCCCCCGCGCCATGGTTTTCGGGGGTCCTCTGCTCCTCCGGTGGACCCGTCACCACGGCACGGGAGCTCACCATAGTGCCCGCAGAGCAGACAAAGAACTTCCTTTTTCCGTCTGCTCTGTGATATTACTGAGACCGTGGCGCTGTAATCACAGCGCCACCTGTCTCGACTGTCAGGAACTACACAGAGCATCAGTTCTGTGTTGGAGGGCAGGTTCCATAAAGAGAACCTGTCACCTCCAAACTATCACATATAGGATTTTACCACCATATGTGATAGGAATAAAATTAAAAAAATGAAAAATGAAAAAAGTAAAAAATAATAAAATATATAAATTGCGTATATTACGGTCCCTTAAGAAATCGTCCAAAAGTTTCTTGAACAATTCCACATTATTTGCTGAAATCACCGCCTGTGGCAGTGAGTTCCAGACCCTAACCGCTCTAACTGTAAAGAACCCCCTTCGCCCCTTGTGCTGGAATTTTTTTCCCACCAATTTTAGGTGGTGGCCTCTAGTTTTTGTAATGAAGTTAATTTTAAACAGTTTATCGCTAATGTTGCTACCACCATTGAACATTTTGTACATGGAGATCATATCCCCCCTTAATCTCCTCACCTCCAATGTGAACATGTTTAAATTTAGTAGCCTTGTCTCGTAGCTCTGGTCCTCCATACCCCTAATTAGTTTGGTTGCCCTCCGCTGGACTTTTTCCAACTCAAGGACATCTTTTCTTAGTACTGGTGACCAGAACTGGACCGCGTACTCCAGATGAGGTCGAACCAATGATCTATAAAGTGGCAAAATTATAGACTTGTCCCTGCAATACATCCCCTTTTTAATACAGGACAAAACCCTGCTAGCTTTGTTTACAGCAGCCTGGCACTGCAAACTACCTTTCAGTTTGTGGTCTACAATGACCCCCAAATCCTTCTCCATTTCTGACTTCCCTAGCGGCATACCCATAATTGTATAACCCATTTGTTTATTTTTAATTCCAAAGTGCATTACTTTGCATTTATCGACATTAAACCTCATCTGCCACATTAATGCCCACTCCCCTATTTTATCCAGGTCCTCCTGTAATGTTATAATGTCTAAGTCCGTGTCGATTACCCTCCCAATTTTGGTGTCATCCGCAAACACGGAAATATCGCTGTTAACACCCTCCCCGATGTCATTAATAAATAAGTTGAACAATATGGGACCCAGCACAACAATATGGGACCCAGCACAACAATATGGGACCCAGCTCAGTTAAAAACGTAACCCTTGCAGTGGGGCAACCCAGGAGGGAAATCAGCACACGTCCTCCCGCTGATCTCCCCTCTGATCACTGAATGCGAAAGCGATGTGTATTACATTACTTCCGCTTTTAGCCTGTCCTTTCTCTGGCTGCTGTAGCCCGAGAAGTAGCTGGTAAAGCAGATCTCTACTTCATCAGCTTCTATGGGGGTCCCTAGGTGACATTAGGGGTCTAAAAGAGCCCTGATGTGTCCATAAAGAGGACCTTTCACTGTATATTTGCTATCACATAAGGTGTTGTTAGTTGCATGACAGAATAAATGTCAGTCAAGGTACCTCAGCAGTGAATACTGAAAAATGGCTTGGACAGGAAGGGGGTTTAACACCCTGGTCTTCAAGTGGTTAAATACTTTCTGATTGATTGACCCGGAATAAGCATGCAGAAAGTGAAGTCTTTGTAAAGTCAGGAATCCTGATCTGCAAATGTATTATAAATCAGTGACTCATTTAACCACTTGCCGTCCGCCCGTTGTAAAAAAAACGGACGGACGGCACTGCAGCATTGGCGGGTTGCCGTCTCTAGACGGCATTTTTTTCTGCGTTGCGTTGCATGACGGAATAAATGTCAAAGTACCGCAGCGCTGAATACTGAAAAATGGCCTGGATGGGAAGGGGGTTTAACACCGCGGATGTCAACTGGTTAAGGATCAGTATGACAGCCAAGCAGCTAGCATTTCCAGAAGTAGAGGTAAGCAGTGGTAGCCACCATATCTCTCTATATACAGATTTCCCTTATTCTGGTTCAGATGGGGTCACTGGGAACTGACTGTTGGCCATTGCACGTTGTCCTTTGCTCTGTGCACAGTTCTTGCTTCTATTTGTGGCCATTTGGAGAGTTGTTTTGAGAGCTGACTGATAAGATGACCCCATGCCAGACTGACAGCACAACACAGAGGATTGCTTTGTCCTCCTGCATCTGTCTGCCTGTGATAAAACTAGTTTCCTCTTTTTTATGGGAATGTATTGCAGTGTTCTATCAATCCTGAGCACCTCACACCGCCGCAGCTTCACACAAGTCAAATCTTAATGACATTTCATTGAAAAGTGGAAGCATCCACTGCCTGCAAAAAGGGGGACACTATAGGCAGCACTCTCCTCCAACCTCCCTCACAGCTCCACAATACAATCCAACACCTTTCTGGTGCTTTATATAAAAATGCTTTAATTTGGCAAATGTGTAACACAAGTTACGTTGCAACCCAGAGAAAGAGAGAGAGATAGATTTGTGTTTTGCAGACACCCCTCCATTATGACTTGGCATCGCCCAGATTGTAACAGTTTCTCTGTAGGTTTCCTGTTCAGTTACTTGAAGGGACTGACCATGGCGGCCACAGAGATAGCTCGGCAGATGGTGAGTAGTTGGTGCAGTGCTGGATGTTGTGATCAGGGGATCCCAGCCAGTGATGGATGCCTAGCTGTGTATTATTCATGTGTGATGGTGCAGACAGCATCATCTGCCCACCCTGCTGCTGCATGCCTGGCTGTGGTGGGGAGCAGCTTTCCCCCATTGTATAGAAGCAGAGATCGGCGCCCCAGACCATGATGAAGCATAGCCGGGGCGTTGGCAATGCTGATGGCACTGTGGCAGATAAAGAAAAGATCATCCGGTTGAATAACAGGTGCACAGCAAAAGCTGAGGACTGATCTAATGCTGTCTGCTCTCTGCAGCCTGCTATTACACTGATTGCATCCAGCATGAAAGGATGGATTGTCGGATGATGCTGTGCATGCTGGGGAATACGGATCTTATGTCTCTGTCTTTGGGGCTTTCTGCTTCTACATTTCAGGAGAAAGAGCAGATGGAATTGATACCATGCAGCAAGTAGATGTAAAGAAAACCTGGACAATTCATTCTGAGCATGTGATGTAAAAACGTGTAAGCAGGGGGTTATGTTCAGAGAAAGATGCACATCTGAATGGTTGATCAGCTGCTTTATTCAAATCTTATTTGCAAGTTATATGCAAATCTGGACTTTTCTGGGAAGTCGGACATCATCCTTCCTCTTAAACAACTTTACTGGGCAAAGAGGTGTAGCATGTGCCGTACCCAGGAGGTGCAGGCGCAAACTCTACCTATAGAAGCTGCTATAAGGTATGCAGTGCAGGCACGCTAGTCGGAACCCTACCCTAATATGCCCTTTCACTGGGTAATTCTGATTGAGTAATTCTTCTAAACTTATGGTAGTGGCAAAGCTTGCCCATTCTGTTTCCCATTTGACCAGTGAACCATTGTTTTTATTGAACTGGCTCAATGGGCTATTGGAATTTGTGGGAGGCAGGAGGTGGTGGGCAAGCTTCAACCCGGCTAGGAAAAGCCAGTGCTTTGGCGCTGTTACCGGAGCCTGTATGTACAAAGAGAAGCACGAGGAGCTCCTTCGAAAGGTGACTGCTTCTTGCTGTCGGCATAGGACAGTCCGGTTAATAGAAATAAAGAAAAGGTGAATCCTCAAGGGCTGGTAAAATGTAGGCTGTGTGGGTCTTCCTCCTTCCCCTGGTGTATCATCCTCCTATGGTCCTGGGGAGACATCGTACCTCCTAAGGGACGTTTTTGGACCTTTAGCCAAACACTGCCGACTAAGTTCTGTATCGGCTGTATTTCTGCCTGGGAGCAGGTATCTAGCTCAAAAAAAAGTTGCTCTAATTTAGAAGCTCCCCTGATGAAGCTCTAGTGCGAAACGCATTGGGAGAAAAAGGAACTACAACCCCTTGTATAAATTTGATAAGAACAACAAGGGATTAAGCTTGCTTCAAAGCAACCAGAAAAAGGGGGTAAAATACCCAAGAAATGCATGAAATGTGAAACATTGTATGTAATAAGTAATGTTGCTTTTTTGTTTTTAATGTTGGAAAATCACTTTTTTTTTTTAACAAATACGAAACTCTGCTTTTGCCTCTTATAAATCCAACTTTGTGTATGTTCTGGAACTTTAGGGGAAGAGGCCAAAAACCTAGAGCTGTGCTTGATCCATAAGAGGAGTTACTACTTGGAATTACAATGCTTTGCCTGATGAACATGGTCTTGTGTTTGATCATTCTGACTAATTCCCCCACGCTTCTGGTCGTGATGAAGCTTGCAAGTTCTGTTTCCCAGTGGCCCATAATTGTGAGGATCTTGCTCAATGGGATATTGAAATCTGTGCAGAGCAGAGGGGGGTGGACAAGCTTCAACACTGCTAGGAATGGTCAGTGATTTTCCTGATCAGAATGGTCTGGCTTTTGGTTGTAATGGGAAGGGAGTGCAGGTATGCACTGTATCTACATGGTAGTACCCTGTTTTTCTTTGAAAGAATAACTTTAGCAGGAAAAAGAAACTAAATGTATTTCCCTTGACCCTTCTGGGAGGTCTATGTGACATGAGGTTGTCATTGAAGGTAAGCTCACATTTTCCATCTGCTCAACTTGAATTGTCTAGGTTAGTGACATGTATACCTTACTTAGAGAACATCACTAAGCACATCTGTCACGATAAGCTGTGGAGACACTGTTCCCAAATTGTGGTTGCATCATTACACTCTGCCTCTTCACCCGGTATTGTATTGGTCATTTTGTGTAAAACTATTAAACATCATCCTCTGCTGTATGGATTTAAAAGGCATTATGATCGGTTTTGTTATACAGATGACAAGATAATTTCCAGGGACATGACACTATTTCTAGTATTTATAAATACTCTGCTAATAGACAAAACAGAACTTCTAGTTTATGGAATATTTACAAAGCTGGGTATAAATATTTTCAGTTTGATTTTTCTGTTTAATAAACACTCTGGTGAAAAGAGCCTGCCACCACCAAAGGTGAGCCTTGCTTCTTAATAGCTGAAAACCATAATAAAGCTCCTGAAGAACATTGGGAATTGGGATTATTTTTTCGCTCTTATCTTCCTGGGAATTCATGCATAAACAATGTGCACATGAGGTGCTTTGTGACCTGACTTAAAAGGAAGCTGTATGGGATAGAACTATAGGAGCTGATATTGCTGAATAAATGTGTAGAATAAACTGTTCCTGCCTCAGTTCTTTGAAGGTAACCCCTGATTTTGCATTTTCCTTCATGTGCTCCATTTGAGTTGCCCAGTTTGGTAACAGGTTTACTTTAAAACTATTCTAGAGTTTACCAGCGCTCCTTTTATACCATAGAAAAATATTTTGTTACTGGAGTTGCCTTTCAAGCATAGGCAGAAATGTTTTACATACAGCTGGTAAAGGTACCTGAATCTGTATTGATATTAGCCATCTTTAATTCCCAACATAGGCACACGGGCAGTAGCGAGGGTCAACACTGTAAACCAGAAAGATTAATGGAGGTCCCCCCATTCAGTTAATGTTAATTTACAAAGCCTCTGTGATGGCCTGAATTCTCTAATGGAGCCTTTCTCAACCAGGGTGCTGTGGCACCCTAGTGTGCCTTCTGGCTTCCTCAGGGGTGCCTCAAAATGTTGTGGTAGTGGGACTGTGATGTGATGGAGGGAATAAGACTGAGGTGAAAGGGAGGCTACTGATTCAAAGGGTAAATCTGATGTGAGGGGGACTCATGATTTGAAGGGGGCACTTTGATGTGAAAAGGGGAAACTCACTTTTTTGTGTTTTTGCATGGGGTCCTCCTTTTAAAATATGACATTTTAGACTGGGGTGCCTTTGAGACCTTGTATACTTTTAAAAGGGTGAGAAACACTGCTCTAATGGCCCATAATGTCCAACTTGGGTCGGACCTTGAACATTCTCTCCACTTCCTGCCCAGTGCTATGGAGAGGAGATGAAAGAACCATTCCGCATGTTTCACTGCGGATCAGGCAGGCATTGAAGAAAACGCTTGTTGCCCAACAACACTTATATGTGACAAACTAGGAGAATAGTTTGGCATCATGAAGAATGCCCCTTATTTCTCACTGGCCCTAGAAGTGGGCGATGTTCAGGTCTATAACAGCATGAGGAGGTTTCCAACACCTGCCTACTCATCTCATGTAAAGGCACCTCTGAATCCCAGAGGGCCCTATGCACAAATATGTCCACCCCTGAGTCAAGCTTTACTACATTGCACAGCAATATCTATTAAACACTGCGCTCTTCGTAACAATAGAAGAGTGGCAATTGCATCAGATTATTGCTGCTCCTTCGTTGCACAATCGCAAACTGGGGTGGGTCCTAGACCATGGTTGTATTACTCACCAGCAGGGGAGTCCGCAGACGGTCTCAGGGAGGGCAAGGCCCTGCATGTGTAAAGATCACAATCTGGCTGAAGAGAATTACAAATCCCTTGGCAGGTAAACGGCTCACATATATGTATTTCAGTTGTATATTTAGCTGATTTGTCAATCAATACTAAAAAAAAACAATAATTTGACTTTATTTTCATAGTGATTTCATTGTGATGATCTGATGGTCCATTCTATATCTATGTTGTATATGCATTCATAAGCTCTTTGCAACATGACCTTCTTGTATGTTCTAAATACAGATGTTGGTTGTTTCAGCAATTGGATTATCCAGTTATGCTATAAATCCGAATTTCTGTTGGTTTGAGCAATTAGATCAATGGGTTATTCTATAAATCTGAATTACTGTTGGTGGTTTCAGAAATTAGGTTAGTGGGTTGTTCATTATGAGTACAGAAATGCAATGATCAACGCACTGCAGACTTTTCAAAACAAAAAAAGTGTTTATTTCGGAGATTTTATTATGTAGTTCTTTTAATAATATTTCTGTCTTTCTAAAGGACTTTTAAAAACAAAGTAGAAAACTGTTAAATGTTACTCAATCATTTTAACCCCAGTTATGAGCTGTGTGCAGACTAGGCAGAAAGAAAGCATCCTTGGAGTCAGACAGATCAGGAGTCGGACTAGAGTTAATGGATATGGCTAAATGATTGGATCAATGCAGCACATGTACTATTATTTTTCCTCTCTCTGGAATGTATCTTGAAAGGCTGGTGACTTCTGAATCTTTTCTCTTTTATGGTACATTCATCCAGTAGTTCACACATGAACAACAGAAACGCGTTTGTTTTCTGTGCACTGTTAAAGGAAAATTATGGGGAGAGTGAAATAAACTGATCTCCATACTTGGACCCGACATGTGACACGTGATCTTTATAGATCGTGAACTGAGTGATCGCATAACGCTCATCACTCATTTCATGATCTTCTCCCTGCAGAGAGTGGTGACTGTCGGTCACTGCTCTCCACAGGGATTCCCCTGCTCTGTTCCTACAGTGCTGACTAGATGGGCAAGAGGTGGGCACAGCTGACTCTGGCTCTAGAGAGGCAGAGCCAGTTGTCAGTCAGGCAGCAGGGTGGATCCTGAGGATATTGTTGTGATCTTTCCCGGCTGCAGCGTTGTCAGCATATAGCGGGCA